TTAGTAATGAGAATAGTGTGGGTTGGGGATGTTATACTATAACTATCATAAGGAACCCCCAAAATAGCATAGGTAAGTCTTAAGATTACGGCCTTTCGCATTCACGGTCTGACTTTGTAGGAAAAAGGCAACATTCAAACATCTAGTGTGTCGCTCTCCACAGCTGCTGACATGACGGAGACTTTCTGGTGCAAGACGGGGCTCTGTAAAACGCAACAAAACTCACTCACATTTTCTGCGAGTTGTCCGTAACGCTTCTGACACCTTCTGATAATACTCAATTGGAACTGAACCTGGTTAGCAGCTCGTAGTTATCGCCAACGACAATGATAAACGTAGGCAAGGTATGGAGGATCACTATACACAAACAATGCGATGACAGCTGTCGAAGTTGAAGGGAAGCATCAGCAGGTTTCTAGAGCTGATGGAGCACTCCAAAAATCCTAAACCGTAAAGACACGGACACTGCCACACGCCCGAGCAGCTCTTATGTCTAAGTCCTATGCATGTCCTCGACTCCCAAGCCATGTTATCAAACTTTCTCCGAGTGACCGTCGTGGCGGTGATGGTGCCATTCGATCACTTCCGGAACTGCCAATATAGCCAAGCCTCGCGAATGATCGCGGCGCTGCATGTTTGATGCCTTCATACGGACCGCCAGCAATGAAGCGTTTTCAAGCAACACACGAAACACCCCTGCAGAATGGAGGCAACGAGCCGAAGTAAAATCATTCTACGCTTTTCTGAAACCCAAACTCTGCCGATCAGCTGGAAGCAACCCTACACCGAAAACCTCGGGGCATGCTTGAAATCCCAGTCGAGGCTAGCATTTGCAAATACTCAAACCCTCCGGCACCGAACTCTGAGATCCAACCAAACTCTCTCCCAGGCGTTGGCCTCGAATCCATATCCCGATGTCCCCATCACTCTGCTGAGGCCAGTGCAGCCCACAGTGGCTGAAATGCCGACAGAGGACATGGTGCCATGGTCCGCACCCTGGTGCTGAGGACTGCAGCTATTAGACCGAAAGTCTCAGCATTCAATCGACTGATGAATGATTCGCATCGACACCACCACAGGGGGATGCCGGCAACGCTTGACAAACGGACTTCTTGTTCCTGCATTTCTGCAAGTTTCTAATGTGATCCAAACTGCTTTTTCTTTTATAGCCTGAGTTTGCGAGCACGAACTCATAGCAAAAGACTTAGCCTCCTGTTCGACTTTCTTGCATCAGACGCTGCCTGGACCGGACGGACGAAAACCTACGAGTACTCGATGAGTGAACCCGTACATCACACATTGAACCAGCCTCTTGAACCGACATAGCTGTGTCTATCTGAGGTTTCAGGGCTTCGGGACGCTTGCAGTGTGGGGTGCTTCGGGAGAAGTCTTCTCGGGATCTTTGCTCCTTGCTTCCCCTCCCGTTCAGCGCTAGTTAGAAGCCAGCCCGGCAACTCTGATCTCGCTGCCGAGGCTTCGGCCCTGTAAACCCTAGCCCCAAGCCGTACATCAGATCCGGACGAACTTTGCGATTGCAGCCCTGCGTAGACTAGCCTTCCGAATAAGCGGCCCGTTCTCCAGCATCACGGTTGTTCATCTGGATTGTCATGTTCGGTTACCATGAAAACTGCATAGAGGTGTTGTGCAGATTCTATCAGGGTCACAGAAACGATTACTGCTAGAAGGGTTTTGGTCTCAAAACATAAGCTCGCAATGTCAAAGCTCGTCGCCACCTGAATGGTTGTCGAAATTATGGTCCCTGTTTGGGTCCCTTATATAACACGGCACCTCATATTTAGGGTATCCAAAAAGGGACCCTAATTTTGACAACCACCCGCCTCGAGAGCATGTGGCAGCAGGTGGATCAAGGCATCGGCCACAAGGACCTCACATTATGTACGGCCCCCACTCAGTAATAGTTGAAGATTATTCATAATATAGATCTAGTAGGACCTTAGTGACCTTAATAGTAGCCCTATTATGGACTCTTACTGTATGGGGGCCGTACCTAAACCTCACAACAGATCCCAAAGTCACGCGACAGGGGAATGAGGCCTGGGTTTGGGGCGGCTCAAGGGGTCTATAAGGGATCTATAGTAGGGTGCTATTATATAAGGGCCTTAATAATAAAAATAGGGTTCGGGTTTTGGGCTCAGGGTTGGCCGACCCCGATGTAAACATGCAGTGAAACAGGCTCTGGTGTGAGCGACTATGTGCATTGGGCTTAAGGCATTCAACGCAGAAAGCTCAGAGACGACAGTGAAAAGAGCTGTCCCCAACTCCCCTCCTCACCCGAAACCCCCTTCAAAATACACGAGGTCACTAGGCCCAACCTCAACACGTACTGAAGTCAAAGCAGCGCTGGTTCGCTGTTTTCGGCGGCTGAAGAGCTGCGAGTCTCTCAGTCACGCTGCAAGCTTTACACCGGCTTCAAGCTTTCAGCACAATACAGGCCATGGGTGTCCAAAAAGCAATTCTGAAGTCTTCAAACTCCTGGAGTAGAACAAGGGGGTCGGACAGGGTCCCTGTGAGGTCCGCACTGTGGCAGCAAACGCCAAACAGCTGTACTCCACGACCGCCCCTAACCTGAGGCTCCACTTAGGATGTCGGGTTGAAGGTTACGGTTTCAGCACTCACTCTCAAGGGCTCGGCGAAGCAGGTCTACCGTGTTGAAGTTTCAGAAGTTTCGAATGAGAGATGATGGGACTTACAAAGGTAGCCTAGGCCAGAAATAGCTAATCCCTCAAACCAAACAGGGCTGGAACACAAATGCCTAGGTCAGTATCCTTAAGCTGTAGCATCGTCCTGCTCCCAGAGTCTCGTACCAACTCATGAGTACAATTACAGTAGTTGGTCCAGCCTGTTCTCTTCTCACACATAACCCGAAAGCCCGTTGAAAGCAACGCCAGCTAAGACACGCAACAAAAACCACGAAAGCAGCCACCCCACTCGAAACCCTGGACAAAATCTGATCCCATGCGCAAAGGGCAAGAGCCGTTTGTGCTGAGCTGCAGTCTCTTCATTCTACTATTCTTCAAAGAAGTAAGCAGAATTCACGACAGCGGCCGAGGTCCACTGCGCCTTGTGCAATACTTGATAAGATACTTTCTTTAGCATATGCATGACAGGTGAAAAGTGTATGTTATAGTAACGAATCGCTGCGGGAGACCGTGGGATCTGAAGGAAGACCAGCAGCGCAACGCCTGCGCCAGGCTTGGGTTTCGACTCGCGCACTCGCGAGAAGCAGGCACGGATTCCAGCACTTGTCGGCCTATGTGAGAACGGACGGCACTACAGTGCAGAGACAGATCTGCAAGTAAGCGATTACAGCTAAACCGTAAGCCCGGCATGGATGCACCCCAAGGCCAGTAATTGCAAATCTCTAAATCGGCAGCGGCAGGGCACTACAGCTCGACAAACGAAAACCCATATACAACCAATCAAGCAGGAGGCAGGAAAGTGTTCACGTAACGTCAGAGGCCCCCCGGCACAGGCACATGTGGAGGCTTCCATGTCAATCTACTGCTGAAGTCATCAGCTCAACTCACCCACTGACGGACAAGATGGCATGCTGACACATGGGCCGCAGCAAGCTGTATGGTTAAGGGCATTTGGGCAAGGCGTGTAGAGGTCCAAAGTTGTATACACCGAGACCCCAACCCCTGTGTCTCGCCTAAACCCAAAACCCTGAACCCTTGCTTCTGGGTTGGTGGGAAGTGCGTGCATTAAGGTCTACGGCGGTCAGAAGCTTGCTTTGCCCACCTTCGGGAAAAGAGCCAATAACTACACTATCTGCACTAGGCAGCAGTCATGAGATAAACTGTTTTTGGAATTGCGGGACATGCTTTCGACGGAAAGGTACCAGCTACGAACCGAAACGTGCAGCAGCACCAGCAGCAGCAGCAACACGTGTTGCACCTCCACACCATTTCCGCTATAGAGCTAGGGTACAGAGTGTAAGGTCTCGCCCGGGGCCTGGTCATGCCGTTGCTTTTGGCTTCGGCTCTAACACAGACATGTTGTCAACTCTCGAGACATCCACGAAAAGCAGCGCCAGAATACAAAGTGCGACGAGAGGGTATCGGGCAGTATTGGCTTCACATGCGGCGGCAGAAGATTGGACAACTCTGCCGGTTGCTCACAGCGCACTGCTGGCTGCTGGCTTCGATGCCACCGATACTTTATATTGAAACTTGCCCTTCACAGTTCACAGGCTGGTGCTGTGCTTCCCTTCAAGTGCACGAGGGCCTGCAAAGCTAATGGCGCTCATAACCACTGCCGAGGCCTGGAACGAAAAGCGCATTTTGCATGGTCTAAGGGCTGCCAAAAGTGTCCGTGGATTCTACTATGACTCGCAGTGAAGTGGCAGCAGTCACTAACACAAACCGTTCATGGGAGATCCACTTCACTCTTCTGAATTCTTGTGCCACAGCCAGCTGCCCAAAGGCTGATCGTCGGTATCCCAGGAGGCCCCACTTGACGACTGGGGGCTGAAGGTCTTAGCTATACGAGTGTAGGGGATGCATGTCGAGCCAAAGGTCATCAGCCCTAAGCTATGTTCCTGAGCATCTGACATAGGCCCAGAACCACCAAGGTTGCTTCTCGAACTTCAGGCCCTGCTGCAAACCTGATGCACCACGAACACCGCAGCTGCTGCGATGGAAGCTAGGAATTCAAGGCTGGGTGGACTTCACAATGGGAGGCACCGCTCTGAAGTCGTACCCAGAAGCAACCAAATCCCTTCCTGCAGAAGCGCTCTGTGATTTCAGGAATCTGGGAATCGGCCGAGGTGTGCAGTCCGACGAACATGCGCCGAACTGTCCTCATCTTGCGGAATTCGGGCAATCCAGAGTTAAATGCTTGCTCGGCGCAGCAAACACGTCGAGCAAATGTAGAGAAAACTGTGGTGGCACGGCGCTCTTTGAGTGCCGCGTCTACCCCGCTTAAAACACTTTCAAAAGTTCTTTGGCACGAGCACCGCCTCGCCTCCGGCGCCCGAGCTAGCGCCCGGTCGTCAGCCGCGCCCAATATGCCGGCGACACTCCGGAGGAATAGGATAAATCCTGCGACCTTGTTTAGGGTTTCGACGCTCGCACTCGCAGAGGGCAGGCAAGGAACAGGGGTTTACGCTCTCACAACTCGGACTGTGCCAGGCGAGGTCCTTGGGTACTAAGGTCGGCGTGATACATTAGGGTTCAGGATTTAGGCTGACTGGATAGATTGGGTTCGGACTCTCGTACCAGGAGGCCAAGTACTTAACTCTGCCAAACGACCTGCTCCGAAGGGTCGATCCAAACTATCAGTAGACATGCCACGTGCTACGTGTCGGGGATGGAATCATTCGAAGACTTTCATGTCCGGTGTTGACAGCATAATTAAAATCACATATCTAATCAATCTAAGGCCCCCAAAGCCCCAAACCTCTTTAGCGTCCCTGAACCATGGATTGCCGTTCAGGCGCGAAGTGCGCAAGAGCTCCACACCCACCTTCGGCGTGGCACCCACCTTGTCGGATCCATCTGCCTCTTCCTGGTGCAACGGGGTCGGGGGTTCACAAACTAGGGATAGCAATTATTTAGAGGCGGTCCTTACACAAGAATAATTTCAGGGTTCAATATTTGCATCTAGCTCCTGAGACACCCATACAGAATCAATGAGAAGTACACTTACTTCCCCCACCTGTTGATGACTTTGCTTTCGTGATCCACTCCGTTTGACTCACCTGTTCCCGTTCTTGCTTCCTCACGCTCGCTCTGTCTCTGCATTTCTGTGTCTCCGTGTCTCTGTCTCGATCTCTTACTCCCTCTACTAGTCTCTCTTCTGCAAAGCTGAAGGGAAGGCACTGCATGCAAGCTGTCTCTTCCCCACTGTTGATCAAAGGCTTCGGTATACAGCTGCGAAATGCTGCGAACTCTTACGTATCTTACGAACCAGAGGTTTCGTGCTACCCACATGCGAAAGCCGCCAGAGGCATGGCAACCTTACGAGTGCACAACTCTTGTTCGTCCAGTTTCCCTGCAAAGCACTGGACTCTAGGTTCGCCCTGGTGGAGGCCGTGTTGATACGGACCGGATCGGCACCGTAAGCGGGCCGCGCTTGTCTCTCTGTCTCGCTCTTTCTTTGCGCAGGCTTGCTCCTTCACTGTCGCTGTCTGTCTCAACACCTCGCCGGAACCATCCACACCATCTCTGGCAGCGTCGTAATACTGACTGGCAGCAGCAGCAGCAGCAGCAGCAGCGCTCTGTAATAACTTCAGCCTTCGACACGTTGGTCTCGATGTGGACGGGCTGTGGCGTGTTGCGGAAGTCGACACCCCAGCTGTGAAGCTGGCCTTCGCACTTTCTCAACGAACGTGTGCCCGAGCTCAGGGCTTCAGCTTGGGTTCCAAGATGTTCCAAGCCCAAGGGTAATGCATCTGCCGTCGCCAGAGCCCTCAACTCTGAATCTGAGCCTTGTATAGAGTCTCTTTCGGTGCTCCCAAAAATGCATTGCACTTCTGGGATTTATATTCCTCAACCCCAACGAATCCCCTCCTAGCGTTGGCAGGGGCTTTACTTCAGGCCCTTCTGACTACCGGACCTCAGCACTCCAACAAAGCCAAGCTGCCCAAGATCTTGTACATCAGCTCCTTGCGCAATGAATGCTTGCGTTGCTTGGTTGAGTTGTTGCATTAGTAATTTGTTAGTCTGTTCTTTGGGGGCGGGGACAGCCGCGGGGGGGCGCATGCATTGCAGTTGCAGGACAGCTCAAACTCTCTTCAAGTTTCCGAAATCCCTTCTGAAGCTGCTTTTTTGCATCAGCCTTCTACCGCCTCTGCGGGGGCTCCTGAAGCAACTGACAAACCATAAGTGGCTCCAGCCGCGCACCCCCTTCTCTCTCTCGCTCTGTCTCGCTCGCTCTCTCTCTCAGTCTCTCTCTTGTCTAGCCCCTACCCCTTGCGCGAACGCAAACCCGCTGCTCTCTCTCTCCCTCGGGACGGGTCTGGGGGCGAAACGTTGGCCTGTTATTGGCCGGATTGGAGCAAGGACGACAAAGGGGGTCGGTGAGTTGCCACTGGGCCATGTGTAAGATGGAGAACCCATCTCAGGACCGGCCAGCTTGTGGACGTGTAAAGTTCCAAAACACAAGTAGTTGTTTGTCAAGCAAGGCACTGTAGTGTCGCGCCGTATGTCGCGGATGTTTTGCCAGGGCTGTCGGTGCATGATGCGTACCTTCGACATGGGAGTCAAGTTAAAGCCCTCCCAGGCAGTACTTACACAAGCCTGAACACGGTGTCGGTCGAACGGGCCAAAACCCTGGAACTATCAACCTCAAGGGGGCTGATGAGGGCTGACGGGCGGGCTTGCATCCAAACAGCTAGGCGGAGTGAATTCGGCAGAGTACGACTTCTTGAGAGTTGGTTCGCTAAGGCGTCGTCTACTCTCAACCCCCTGATCCTCATAAATGCAGTACGTAAACACTGATAACATCCCAATCTCCCTAAACCATGCTCGGGGCGTCATGCCAAAAGCGGGCAGCATGCATGCGCGTCTGTAGCATTTGGAGCGGAGGGACTGACAGTTGAAATCATGCACATCATGGTGAGGAGTATGTTCGAAACTCTGGCTACATGGGTGTTGCATCATGTGACCTCGGCGTTATTGCAGAACCGCATACACAGATGGTGCCTGTCCAGTACGTAAGCAACGACTGATACCGCACTTTTTCAACTGCCATTGCTGCGCACCTTTTAGATCCCTACAGACTCACTGTTTACTATGGCAGTGAGCAATGCGTGTGCAAACAGACAAGATCTACCACCTCGCGACCTTCTTCAAGTGACCTTCATGCGGGCAATTCTGGGCTGACGAACCGGTCAGCAGCCGAAACCCGGAAGCCTACTGCTAGCGTCTAGTATAACAAAAACAATATAGAACGAACGAACAGTTGCGCAATGTGTCACAGCTCCGGCAAGATCGCAGTTGGCACGGCCTCGTTCCTGGTGCACGGGACTCCCCTGCTTAGATTCATCTCATTTACTCGGGATGTTTGCATGTTCAGGAGATCGTTGATTGGACTACTGTTTCAGGTCGCAACCTCATGTTTTTTTCGTCTGTGGGTTGGCTTTCCGACTGGTTCAGGCACGGTTTGATTAGGGGTTCACTGCAGTTCTCTCTTCCGCTTGCAAGATAAGCACAGGGATTCAACATGCTTGCACTTCCGTTCTGGCGTGTGCGGAGCTGGCCATCCCACGAAATTAAGAGCGAACCGATGGATGCAAAGTGAATCAACAGAAACGGAGCACCTTCGTGAATGTTGCGAAAGGCCTGCGGAAATGCGGGCTTGTCCATCACTGCTACACCCTGAGGAACAACTCCACCTCAGGTCTCAAATGATGTCGGTATTCGGGACTGGAAACCGCTGAGGCCCACGAGCTCCGGAAAAAGATTACCCGAAGACTTGTAACGTTGCGCGAGCCCGACGCCCGACCACACCGAGGCTCCACTGGAGAGAAGCTCCGCACATAGGAAGGCACCCAAGCCTCTGCAGGAGCAGTGGTCAGGACTCGACATTAGATTTCAGCAGGCCTGGACATGTTCCAGAAGCCTACATTGCAGTTACGCATCTACCTACTGAACGAAATTCAATGTCATGTATAACTGGAGTGAAGAATTAAGCTTTTTGCTCTTCAGCCAGGTTGGATGGCTCAATGTTGCGGCTGTCATAACTCGACTTGGACCCGGTTGAGGTGCGGGGGCTTGCTGCAGCTGGGAATCATGTGCATGCTCCTGGACGTACAGGTTGACGTACTGGTTGATCCTTCGAAGCAAACACTTCAGTGGCAGGGGCACCCATCAACTGCTGCCAATGCTCTACGCCGGGATATTCCACCTCATTTGTCTTTGCTTATCAGTCCTGCACATTTCTTCAGGGGATTGGGCGTACTTATATCGTACGCCTTGACCTTGGTATAATGGCAGAATGGGTTGCTGAATGTATGGAGGATCCCGTTTTGAGCTTCCATCCTGTATGATACAGTCGACGACATTTCCGAGGTCTGGAAGGTGACGCCGATTTCGACCACAGCATTGAGAGACCGGCCGAGATTCACGAGACTTGCCTGTCCAAATCTCTCCGGGTGTTTAGCGCTCAAGGCTCAGAGGATTTAGGCTTCAGGGTCTACCTGCGGCTGGGCAGACCGCATTTAAAGGGAAATCATAATAAGGATTCCAAAGTCGTTGGTTTTGTCTGGTTCAGGTAGGGTTGAGATTTGTGCTGGGAATTACGGGGTCGAATCTGAAGTATCTCATTTCCCAAGCTGGCTGAAACGGGGGGTTCGGAATTCAAGGTTTGGGGCATCCAGCGCCTAAGTGAAGCAAGATTCCACCGGAGCAATCGGCCTACGCAACCCTTCAATAAGTCCATCACAGACAAGCCAGAGCAGAACCTTACCCAAGCAGATCCCAGAGCAAAAACACGAAAGGCAAAAACCGAAAGCCCAAGCCCTAGCCGACGTTTTCCATCCGGGCCTGCGCACCTCACATTCCCAAAATGCAAAATTTTCCCTGGCCTACATTTGGACAGTCGATTTCAATTAAACTTCTGACGCAGACTTAGCATCGGGACGGCCGGTGCTGAAATTAACTTCGTGCCACTACGAGAACACAAAGTGGGGACTGTTCGATACTTTCTGCCGAGTTGGGTCCCAAACAAGTCATTCCTGTCGCCGACACGGTAACATCCTCAGCATGCCCTCTCAGTGACACGACCCAAAGCTCAAGTGCCAAGCAGCTGCCGGTGCATATTAGTAACGCTTCTGCCGCTTTTTGTTTTAGGGGGGAGCGTGGGGAAGCACCCAACTTGAGATGTCTGAACTCCTGAACCTACGATCATCCCGAGATTTATGACAGCTCGGAGTAACCCTGTTGCGATGTCTTTGTCAACCCCTTCCCCCTACGTTTCCATGCCATGAACGTCCCCAAGCAGAGCCCTGAAAACGGATTCCAACACATGAATGGGCTCTTCGTCGATGTCCCTCTACACACCCTGCCCTTGTTCTGGATCAAGGCAGGGAGCAAGTGCAATCGAAGCCCCAAAATCCGGAAATGACTCATGGATTCGATGGCTAACAGTTACACCTTACTGCACTTCAGTTACCCGTCTCTAACAGTGGCCCTTTTCCCACCTCAGAAGCTCAGAAAGCCAACAATCAAAGCAGGGGCAAGCTCCTAATGTGTGGCCTTAACAACTAGGATCCGGTTTTGGGGCCATTATATACTATAATCTTGATAAAGAACCCCCCAAGAATAGTGTAGGCAACTATCCAGGCTCCTATGTTAGTCTACAAGAATGTGTCTACGAGGAAGCTTCCGCCGGACTCTGGGGCCAGACCCCAAGTCAGGATAGGAAGGCGCCTAGTATCGGGCCCTTGGTAGCCCTTATAGTATCCCTTTTAAGGAACCTTTGTCAGGAACCCTTACTGTATCCCTTTAAACGAACCCTATTATCTGGTTCGAACAGGGTTTCGGTGGAATCTGATAGTATATTTGCAGCGGGACCATACGGGATACTATTACGAATAATTAGTCATTCTTTCGACCTACCTGTATCGACACGTATTTCTTCATGTGGCAAGGCGTAAGCTGTCTGCCAGGCCACCTCGTTGTACAAAGCGTTGTTCTTCAGATAGATGCAGTGGTTGGCCAAGTCGCGCACTTCCGTGGTCATGCTGTTGATCCTTGCGGAGCCCACAGACAATGATACTTTTGTTTGCCAGCAACTCCCTTACCACATAGTGAGCACAGCCCCGGTGTTGCAGCCTTCACTTCAGATAAGCGGCTTCTGGACAGTGTATATCCTAAGGGTATCACCGTCACCAAGCTGTATTCGATCACCCACGTCGTAAGGGTGCATCACCAGTAACAGAACCACGCTCTCGAAGATTTCTTTCAGGAGGTTGCCGAAGATGAAGGACAATCCCAGTGCCACGGTCGACATGCTAATGCAAAGAGTTCGCAAGACCTGTCAAGCGCGCCGGGGTTGCAAACGGTTGATTCTGGTTCTGATGGTCAACGCACTAGCCTAGAATATCGAAGAAACCGATGACTCTCTGCAGTCCTTGCATGCATGGCTGCACTTCAACACCCTCCGTCGCCCCACACACAAGAATCTCAAAATACATCATGTGTGTGTGAATGCACGTAGACTTGAACCTATGGGGGTTCATCTCGTTAGGGGACGCTATTCCACAAACCCGCCGCCCCCTCAATTTGACCAAAGGACATTGAGGCTTCCGTCGCGAAGGCATGGTGGAAACCCATATGCAAAGGACCGGACCGAAACAAAAGCATCGGAAAGAGCCTTTTTGACAAGATCCTCGGGGGATCGGTACTGGCAGGCCAATGCTGCCTCAATCTCCTCATAACGTTAAGACTTGCTTTTTGCAGTATACGCTAAGGCGACTCACTATGTCATGTACGGAACAGTCCGTAACCAATTAGTATGGAGTGGTTTTCCTGGTTTACGGTTGAGTCCTTTGCACGGCCGGGGCAACTGGAATATGTGGTCGCGCTCCGCGGCCCCCCCCCTGCCCCCCCCAGTCGACAAGGGCTTAGGGAGGATTTGCGGTCTATGTTGTGCTTTGGGCTTAGATCCTGTAGTTAAGTGGCGTTTAGGGTTGGGTGTGGGGTTTTAAGTACAAGTAAAGGTTACTCAAAACAGGGGCACGCGCTGCGTTATACGGTTTACGGCTTGCTTGCGAAGGGCTTGCGTATGAGCCCTGGCCGCGAGCACCACCCCACCATATATATAGTGGCAGCTCCAACGGCCCCGACTCCTTTCCGCACACGCCAGCCCCTCCCCCCCTACCAGACCACACCATTGGGGGGGGGGGGGGGCTGGGAACGCCAGACGCCTGACCATATATGCTTGTCCGGTCGGTCTGATCGTTCAAGTTCTCCGATGTGACGGGGCGCCAGGCTGTCTATCTTGCAACCACCAGAACAATCTTGATGTTTCTAATCTACGGGTCTTAATAATTAGAAAAGGGTTTTGGTGCCCAACAAAAATAAAAAAGGAACCCCTCAAAATAGTATAGATAATTAGTGGCGCCCCGACAATAGGAAACTTCTGGCGCCCTTCACCCCATGCAAATGAAGGATCTTTTTGGCCGCCTCCGCCGGGAAGAAGGTGCCGAGAATAATCGCAGACGAGAGGATGAGCTGGACCTTTATGCTACTTCCCAAATGCCCGAATTCACACAAACTCAAAATCACCTTCCACTTTCTGGCAAAATGCAAATCACTTGCAGTGAATCTCTTCTTGCAGTCATGCCCATCGATTCTCAAGTTCATGTATTCATAAAACCGGCCGGACACAAGTTACAGGGCAAGTTCCAGAACTCATGCATTCCAGCACATCCACCAGAAGTCAAGTCAGCAGCTCCAGTCACACCATGGAGCGCAGGAATTCAAGAGGGACCTGTAAAGTACAGGCCCCTGCAGAACCCATGCACTTGTTGGCAAATGACCGTCGCATGCAGTGACTCTGTTCTCATGTCATGCCTTTGGATCTCAACTTCACGAATTTATAAACTTACATGCAAGGTCTTGGACAAGTTGGGCTTTCAGCACTCACAACTAGACAAGCAAGTTGGGCTTTAGGGTTAAGGAGTTCGGGACTGTGCATGACACTCGCACTCGGACAAGGCCGGCCGGGAATATGACATTGATAAAGCTTGTTTTGCTTGTATCGCAAGGACGAGCAGGTATGGCAGGGTTTGCTTGGTCGGTTGAGACGCAAAAATCTGTACATGGTCATTTGTGACCAAAAAGGTGGTGAACAAAAAAAGGTGGTGAACAACTGATCACAAAGTGGCCTCTGTACACTCTGCACACAATGCAGAAAATTGTCGACCCAGAGTACTCTCTCACTACGAGGAGCTGGGCATTGTTTCAACAAAAGTGGATCGCATTTGTATGGAGCACGCGCCAACCGTAGAGCTGCAAGTTGCTTTGATTGCTTCAGGTGCATGCAGCAGACATCTTTACACAAGTCTGCTATCTGTCAAAAGTATGTACAGACAGTGCACACAAACATTCAACCTAGGAACTAGCAATTGCACTGATCCCAGTCAGACCTGAACAGTCGTAGTCACAAGCCCTATACACCCGGTGAAGACTTCATGAATCGTGCATGGCCTGACTCCGGAACGAAAGCATGTACCTAAAGGGGCCTGTGCTTCTGACTACATTTCAGAAGCTGTAGCCAAGTTAGCTATTCCGTAGAATCAGTCGATTCCGTAGACTCAGTCGAGGACGGGGACGAATCGCTATCACTTGCTGCCTCCATTCGCCACGGTCCGCGAAAGGGATCTTCGCTAGCCAAGAAGCTCGGGACAAAGAAGCAACCTCTTCCTCGGGCCAAGAAGAGCTGGAGCAGGACAGTTCCACAAAAGGGCTGAGACACGAGTCGTTTCATTCCAAGACATGCAAGCCCGAACATGCTCGTGTAAACCGCCAGCGGCAACGCTTTCCAGCGTGAATACGCTCCCACTTTGCTCCGCTCAGCTTCCCAAACTGCAAGAAGAGAACAACCAATGATCAGGTAAACTACCAGTATCTTCGACATCATTTTCAAGATGAAACATCTTTCGTCGCAGGGCGTCTGCCATAAAAGGAGGAGCAGGCCAAGACGGGCCGCAACGGTGATGCTGTGGAAGACCCAAAGGGGTTCATCTCCTCCGTAAGTATCGTGGCGATGGTATACGAAGCCACAAGACATGGACCACAAGGTTTCACACACCAGCGGCCCGAGAGCAACGAAAGGAAAAGCGATCTCGGCGTGACCTGCGCCTCGAACATCAATCCCTCGACGTGCAATCTCACGAAGGGTGGGCGATGACATCCCGGCAGCTAGAAGAACGTGGATAGCATAGTCGACATGAGCGGTTTTCTCACCAATCGCTCGAAAAATCCTTTCTGCATCCGCTTGCTTAGAACATGTTGCCTGCACTATGCTGCCTAAGAACCCACGACTGAGATGCTTCGCTTCCTCCATTTTGGCTTCGTCTTTGATGCGGTCCACCTCCAACAACAAGAAGAAAGTCAAACCAGCGAAAAGAAGCAAGTGCTGCTCCACGGAGGCTAAATAAGCATGCAGGCATATTCACATGCTCAACAACTGGTCGCCAGTGCACGAAAACGAAGCCAGCAGCCATGGCGCCAATCCTGTTCAAGAGCTTGCGCCCGCTGCTGTGGTTGATGTGCGCGCTGATACATCCGGCAACCACGAAGACGCACAAGGCAATTGGCAGGATCCTGATGGGTCGCAAACAATAGCCACACATCATCCCCGAGAGTCCTAAGATGCTGCCGCAGATAATGGCATGGCGCAGCTGCTTGTGGTTCGAAGCTGTTGCAAGAAAGATGGTCTTACCCTCCTCGTGAGCGCGGTAGACCTCGAAGCAGCACCAGAGCCTGGTGTAGATGCTGCAGTGGCGGTTGGGCACCACAAGGACGAACGTAGACGCCTGGAGTGCTCGTGCGAAGGGCGATCTGCTGGGAGACTGCAAATAGGACCCTGTGTCCAAATTCTGCGGATTGGCCAGCATGCAGCACCAAACGTTCCGTGAACCCGCAGGCCAGGAGTGCAAGACCTTGGACAGGAACTCGAAAATGCCCTCTAGCCAGGCGTGGCTAATAAACAAGTCGCAGTCCAGGCCGTCCGGATGCAGCATGAGTGCCCAGCTGACCTTGCCGGCTTGATCCGTCACCGGCATGATGTACTGCGCGTTCACTGTATGGATGTTTGGCCCATACTGATGGGTGGAGAATTTTCCTTTGCCCTTTTTTTTTTTTTTTCTTGGCCCTTTTTTTTTTGGGGGCCCTGGGCTCCTGCGTTCTCCGTATTTGCCGCATGCGTAGTAGTAGTAGTAGTAGTAGTAGTAGCAGCAGTAGTCGTAGCAGTGGTAGTAGTAGCAGTGCTAGTACTAGTAAGGAGTAGTAGTAGTAGTAGTAGTAGTAGTAGTAGTAGTAGTAGTAGTAGTAGTAGTAGTAGTAGTAGTAGTAGTAGTAGTCTAGTAGGAGGTATAGTAGAAGTAGGTGAAGTAGTAGTAGTAGTAGTAGTAGTAGTAGTAGTAGTAGTAGTAGTAGTAGTAGTAGTAGTAGTGTAGTAGTAGTAGTAGTAGCAGTAGTAGTAGTAGTAGCAGTAGTAGTCTAGTAGGAGGTATAGTAGAAGTAGGTGAAGTAGTAGTAGTAGTAGTAGTAGTAGTAGTAGTAGTAGTAGTAGTAGTAGTAGTAGTCTAGTAGGAGGTATAGTAGAAGTAGGTGAAGTAGCAGTAGTAGTAGTAGTAGTAGTAGTAGTAGTCGTAGTCGTAGAAGTAGTCGTAGCAGTGGTAGCAGTAGCAGTAGTAAGTAGTAGTAGTAAGTAGTAGTAGTAGTAGTAGTAAGTAGTAGTAGTAGTAGTAGTAGTAGTAGTAGTAGTAGTAGTAGTAGTAGTAGTAGTAGTAGTAGTAGTAGTAGTAGTAGTAGTAGTAGTAGTAGTAGTAGTAGTAGTAGTAGTAGTAGTAGTAGTAGTAGTAGTAGTAGTAGTAGTAGTAGTAGTAGTAGTAGTAGTAGTAGTAGTAGTAGTAGTAGTAGTAGAATATTAGTAGTAGTAGTAGTAGAATATTAGTAGTAGTAGTAGAATATTAGTAGTAGTAGTAGTAGTAGTAGTAGGTAGTAAATAGTAAGTAGTAAGTAGTAAGTAGTAAGTAGTAAGTAGTAAGTAGTAAGTAGTAAGTAGTAATAGTAAGTAGTAAGTAGTAAGTAGTAAGTAGTAGTAGAGTAGTAGTAGTAGTAGTAGTAGTAGTAGTAGTAGTAGTAGTAGTAGTAGTAGGAGTAGTAGTAGTAGTAGTAGTAGTAGTAGTAGTAGTAGTAGTAGTAGTAGTGGTGTAGCAGTAGGTATTAGTGGGAGTAGGTGCAGTAGCAGCTGTAATAGAAAACACCGAGGCCCCCAAAGGGAAAAAAAAAAAGGGCAAAGAAAAAAAAAAAAAAGGGTCAAGAAAAATAGGGTCCCCCATACTGATCGTCGGACAGCTGAAAGGGATCACTGATCACTATCAAAAGGGCGAATGTCCCCGCACTGGATGGCATGCCAGACCTCGTGCCGCAAATAGATCAGGTCTGACCGCGTGATGCACCAACGGTCGGGAGTCACAGTCTCATGCAAAGCCAAGGCCTCTAGCGTCACAAACCTCGATGATGAGCGCGATCTAGCCATCTCGCTTGCGAAGACCAGGAACGAAACCAAGCTATGCCAAAAAACCCTAAATCATACCAGGACCCCCAAAGTACCCTTTCAGAGAGTCCTCCTGGTCGGCAAGAGCGGACAATTAGAGTAAGCCCCTAAACCCCAGTGCCCCATAGTTGCAATTGAATTCCAGCCTCCTTACGTGCACTTTCACTGCCAAACCAAAGCTTGCATAATATAAGGGCAGTGATAATTTGAATAGGGTTTCGGGGCCCAAAATACTATGAAAATAATTAGGAACCCCCAAAGTAGTGTAGGTAATTATTCAGGCCCCTATAGTAAATAGTACCTCTGAGAATGATCCCAAAAACTTGAGCCAAAATGGCTTAGTACAGGGCTTTTCGGGGCTGGGCTTTCGAGTAGACCCGGGGCTTCAAGGAGGTTCCCAAGAGCTCATGTAAAGCTCATAAACCCGAATCTTGAACAGACTCCAACCGATACTAACTTAGGTGAAGCCCGAGAAGTACGAAGTGATGCACTACATGGTTTACTATACGGCCTACGATAGAATAAGGAATCTCGCAGACTTATCGTGGTTCCTGCAGCAACACCCGCGACATGTTGTGATTGTGAAAGACTTTCCAGTCGACTTTCCAGTGTTGGGGTTCTTGGGGAAGGCGACAGCAAAGACGACGCAGGCGACCACCAACAATACACTACTGCTGATGATTCAAATCCTGCATTACCTGAAGGACCCTAGACTATGGGAGTTATGGCAAACTCCTTATTATTGGTAATGCAGGATTTATTCATCAACCGATATGAACCGTATCACTACCCCTACCAGCCACTACCGCAACGATGTCGTCGACGACAACTACATCGACTCACACTTATACTGAGACTCATTCAAATTTCTTTAAGAGAACTATTCCACCAGTCGGCGTGAGAGTTGGGGTTGGAATAATAAGTCGCGGTGCTGGTGGGAGCGGTATTGGTAGACTGTCCGGAGGCATCCGATTCCGGAGTGCAACATGCGACCCCTGTGATCAATCCTCCCCCGGCATACCCAGCCCACAACAAGCGCCATGCTCTCCATCCGAGTGGCCACGTAGACGACATTACTGAAGACCAGCCAGATGGCGGCATAGTCTTTTACCTGAGTCGAAACTGGTTCAAGAAGCTATTCAAACAGCCTTGCAGGTCGCTGTGCCAAGATTACTCGGATCCATGTGCCGTGTTCGTGAGCCCCTGTTTCAGCATGGGCTTGGATTGAACCCCTTTTGCAGCA